AACCGAGAATTTGTCCTCAGGAGAAGCTGAATTTATTATAAAAATATATATAATAAGACTATTCATTTTTGGCATATCACTGCCATTATTGACTATTAGATGTAATATTGGGTATCTAGGGGTGTTGATTGATTGGGCATGAAAATCAAAATAAAATCTTTCGAATTGTGTGATAAAACCCTTAGCTATTGGATTTCACATCCAACAGTTAAAAACGCTAGCAACTTTCTCGTACCAAAAAATTAATAGTCTTACAGTAAGCAAATATCTACTCGAAAGCCTCTTTTCATCGAAGGAAAAATATCATTAGAAATTGACTTGGGCCTAAATGGTAACAAGCAATACTACATCTCAAGTTTGATTCCTACAACTGAACTACCCAACAAAAAAAACATATACCATTTAAGTGTCAAAACTCCTTATAAATTCATAACGAGAGTAAAAAGATCGAAATTAATATTCATAAGTTATTTTTTAATGTAAGTTTCATTCATAGTTATGCAAAAAAAAAAAAAACCCTTATGATTCTAGATTGAGAGAGAACCCTGAATAAGGGGTATTTTAGCAATTTAACAGGCTCCAAACAAGCACAAATATTCTCATTGTTATTTGGTCGGTACTTTTTAGGTGGGTCAAATTACTAAAACGACCATACTTGTTAAGGGTTTTCAACTCTTAATAAGGGTAATTTGAGATTTTTATTATTATTTTTAGAATAGTTTTTAAAAAGATACTCCACTTAAAATATGTTTCCTATACCTAAAGTTTTAAGTCATGGTTTTATGTGCTAATCACATATTTATATCGCTCACGTTTTCTTGATCAATGAGACCATGTACTTTTAATACAAGGTAATCACAATTAATCTTGACAATTGGATGTGAAATTGGGTGGTTACATTTATTTCATTGACCAAGCTCAAAGTTCAAAAGAATTTTTTTCAAACTTTGTGACGCACCCAAACTATCAGATTTCACATTGAATGGTTATAAATAATTGTGATCTCCCAGCACCGAAGATAAGTAATCTTCAATGTATACAATCCCTCTCTCTTTTGTTGCCAAAAACCAAATTACTAATTAAATGAATTTTCTTTTTTATCGGTTAAGCTGGTCAAATGATGTACAACTGTATCTAAAATTTGGTCCATTAGGGCCCTCTTTTGGCAAAGTAAAAGGTTGAAAAATTCTGATTTAGAAATCAGATTATAAAATAACGACACTTCTCACAAAGGACCAAAAAATCTATTAACAAAAGACCAGAAAATAGGGCTCTTAATGAAGCATAATAGCCTCTAACTTCGATCAAAAGAGGGTCCTATATGTTTTGACATCAGGCTAAAAAAGCATACATTTCTGATGCTAATTGAATAGAATCCAACAAAAGCTACTCTGAAAATATTTAGGGAAGTTTACAAAAAAATCATGTTTTATTTTTAAACTTAAAAATAGTTTTATATATTTTACACTCAAGTCCCATTTTCTTTTTGTCCCAAAATGTTCCACTCTTAATAGCATAAAGTTATTTTAATTTTATCTCATTTTTTATATATCGGATTAAGCAAAAATTTTGCATGTTCATACGTTTCACCATCAAACAACTATTAAAAATATTTAAAAATAATGAATAAGCAATATACCCCTATAAAATTTAGGGGTAATTTGATATTTTTAATTATTTTCTTAATATTTTTAGAAAAAAGTTTATATAAGGTTGCAACCTTGAAATGTAGAATCACAGATGCACCTCAAAAATCTATCGGAAAAGGTTGTTTTAATGTTGAAAAACCCTCTAATTGATCATCTCGACATTGAGATGTATAAATATGAAAAAAAAAATTTATTTTGAGTTTTAGAAATAGTGCATCTTGCAACACATTATCTAAATCATCCATTTTCAAGTTTTTTATATATTTATCGATCTAATTGATTTTAACCACTTTAAAAGTTTAAAGTGTTATAATTAGATATAAAAATAGATTTTCAGATAATCCTAAGAATTTTTACACTAAAATTACATGTTATCATAAAATTTAGAGGTGCGCCTTAATTGGATTGTTTAAGGTTGCGGCCTTATAGAAACCACACCCATATTTTTATAGTTCTGTAATTGTGAGAACTACCGGTTACCAACTTCGAGCTCAATCCGATGTATAAGAAAAAAGATAAAAATAAAATGTCTTATATGCTTTAAAAAAGTGAGACTCAAGTAAAATACGAAATATATAAAAGTATTTTTGAATTTCAAAAATGAAATACGAGTATACGACTATCCTGTAAATTGTCTATTTAAAGATAAGTTTGTTCAAGTCTATTTGCCCAAGTATATATGCATGTAAGTAGTAAGGGCATGTTTATTTGGGTTAAAATTTAAGAAATGTCTCTGAGAAGGACATTTCAATGCAATTAGCTGCTTTCAATGTTTGTGGAATGGGAAAGCGGCTCCACCCAATTTATAAGAAATGAGCTCTACAACGCTCCGCTAGAGAAATCAGTACCATTTTGTGGAAACTCTGTTTGATAGTAGTAGAGCTATGGAGTTGATATTCAATTCGCGGAAGATCTAATTCTTTCAAATTTGTTTTCGGAAATAGATAAATAACAAAAATGCATGAAGAAAAGATCTATTCTCATAAAAAAAAAAAAAAAGGTGAAACTATATACGAGAGATGCACTATGCCAAGCCCTGCCTAGCTGACCCGACCTTAAAAAACTGACCTAGGCCACAAAATGTGGCATGAGGGTTTGGTCCATGGCCTGGCTACCAAGGCCCAAGAGCTGGGGGACCTAGGCCAGGGCCATGATAGGGCCGGCCGAGCCCAGCCTAGCCCGACCCTCATTTGCCTTTACAATTCCTTTTATTTTTTAATTTTTTTCACCAGGCCCTTTGCCAACCCTATCCGACTAATAATCTTGTGTTTTTCGATGGGTGTTTTGAAATTAAAATAACTATATGGGTAAAATATAAAATAGTCTATCTCTAATAGGTATTTTGATAAATTTACCAAAGAGAAAAGAAAGGAAAATTTATCAACATATCCGATATGTACTATTTAACATTTTACACATTTGCAATCTATTGCCACGCATAATCTTGAGCTGGGTATTTTGAATTAAATCAAACCATATAAGTAAAATATTAAATAATTCATCTCTGTATTTTGATAAGTTTACCAAAAAAAAAAAAGAAAACAAAGAAATAGAAAACTCCAATAAATAACATCCACATAAATGTAGATCCCACAAGAATCAAAGGCAAAGGTCCACAAGTGACAGGGAATAAGGTGGAGCCAAAAGATAATAACAGCCATTGGAGGAGTTGAGATATTTTAGATGCCAAGTCTTCTTCAAACAACTCAGAGAATTCATCCTTTCCGCAATTGATATTTTTATATATCCTGTGCACTTATTTCTCACTCTTAATATATAACCATGTCGTTTTCTGTCTCATATGCATTTCTTTCTTTGGTCGATATGTTTCATTGTGTGTATGGTTGCATATTATGTAAGCCCAAATATTTGGGGAACGATCGAGAAACTGTTTTGCATTAGAAAATACATTGAGAAGGGTGAGGTTTTGTATAAGGTTGCTCCTTATAATATAGACAAAAGGCACGCGTTTAAAATTTACTTGGAGATGTCGTTTCGGTGGCTTTTTATTGTCAGTTATAAAATTTAAAATATCAAAAATAGTATAGATCGAATAGATCAAGAAACACTAGGGCAATCCAAATAACTTGTCACAATATGCATTGTTTTTTAGACTTAAAATTATTTTTTTCCTTCATGTCCATACATCTCAATGTAAAAATGGTCCTTTAGAGGGTTCTCCCATGATGCAATACTTTTCTCTGCACTACAAGGTTGCAACCTTATATAAACATTTTCCAATAGAGAATTACCCTCAAGAGTGCCATATGTATGTTGATGTAGGTAACAGGGTTAGGTTTGTACTATTCTAATTCCCCGCATGTCCAAATTGTTCATTTGGAGCAGCAGGTCAAACTCCTCATGCCCCAACTCTAAAATCACATTTATCACTCTAAGATCATATGAGAGAGAGAGCAAAAAATGCCCCAAATCAAAATCCCTCCAATCCTGTATCTAGACCATGCATTTAATCCAATACTTTCTATTCCCTGCATTTTAATGGAAAATATCTGGAAAAATTTTGGGCTCTTTTTGTGTGAAAATGACCCAGGAATGAATCAGAGATAATCTGTGAAAATCTTAGGGTCACAAATATGGCCAACCATTCAGGTAACAATATGCATGCATAAATTGTCTGAAAAACTGGATTGGTCTGTCGGCTAGAAAACCGGTCTAGATCGACAAATTGGAACAATTCTACAATGTGAGAAATCAATACATGAAAATACATAATTATTTGAAAAAAAATAAAAAATAAAAAAAGTAACAAGTGGGAGATCCTGCCTATTTGGATCACCCAGTTCCTAACAGACTCACCCCATTCCCTCTGACAACACCGGGCAAGTCCATAGGAGCCGGATTATTCTTGGTTCCAACAAGGTACTGGGCGGATATGGACTAATTCCAGTTTCGGAATGGCAATTCCGAGTCTGGATCACTGATTTTTTAAACACTACATAAACCTATAAGTGAACCACCACCCTATGTTTTAATTCCATTCATCTATTTTCATAAGTTTTATATGGTTTTGTAAGATTCTAATAAGTTAAAGAGTTATTTGTTACAACTGCACATTATGCATATATTACTCCCATGCATCTTTTTCCAAAATTCCTTTATGATTTTGCAGGACATTACTAGATCCATTCATTTAAATAGATGGTGAAGATTGTAAAAAGCAGATCAAAGATCAAAAGTTTGACAGGGAACAATGAAGAAGACCAACATGCACAAATTCCATGGAACATCAAGAACTCTCTCAAAGGAAAATCCCCCTTGAAAGGGGTTGGGGTCGCAGTGGTAGCACCCCCACACCCACAAACACCTTCAAAAAATTAACTCCTGAACTATTTGAAAAAACGGGTAGGACTTGCCTTCTCCACTGAATTACCCAAAAAAACAGAAGTCCCCCTTGAAAACCATAGGGAATACACAACTGTAGAATATCTGAACTTGTTAGGAAATCATATAGCCCTCCACACCAGTAAAACAATCATTGTCTTCACAAAAGATCCCTATAATCTCTCACCTGAATTATTTCATCGAATGACTCCATAGCCGGAAAATCGGCAAACCCACAAACTCAAATCAAAGATTACAGCCCAAAGAACCATGAATTAAGGCAACAAATGAGCAATAAAAGGGAAAAGGAAGAAAAAGGATAGACTTGCTAGATGTAAAGAATTAATAGCTCTGATCAACGAGGTAATCTCCAAGCCTTTCAACCACCATGTTGCATTGTCCTGGGGTCAATGGTTCATCATAGATGCCAATGATCAGAGCTTGGGTTGTTTTCTTGATAGTTACACCACCAGAGCCCTGTGAAAAGAAATGAAAGTCGATGAAAAGGTTTCAAGAAAAAAGAAATAGTGAGACAATGCTGTCATAGTAGTTAAGGCAGGTATGGACCCAATAAAAGAAAAGAAAAGAAAAAGAAAAAAAAAGAAAGGAAAAGAGAGAAACAGAGCAATGAAAACAGTATAGCGACGCAAAAAGAGGAAAGAGAAACAAAGCAATCAAAATTGTCTGACAAGCATGGATGGACCAGAAAGGATCACTAAGTGGAGGACATCATAATGTTGCTGTTAGGAGGTCACAGCTGGGACAATTGGCAATACAACTTTTTAAAAGGTTTGAGGACAGGAAAGTGTTCAAGCCATAGATAAATCAATTTGAAATTATAGATAAATTTGGATCATTATTTTTACCGAGAAAAAAGAACTAATAAAACAGAAGAAGTGAACTTATAGAAAAGAGGAAAGAGAAAGTATCTTCCATGAGGCAAATGCATGCTTAGTAATATATCTGATAGTAATAACACAAAGGCATTCTCCAAGGCAGCAACAAGGGAGTTATCTTCTACTTAGTGAGCAATGTTCTAGTTTTCCGAAGCACCTCATAAGCCCATTCAGCAATATGATTGAATGTCAAACAAATCTCGAAGTACCAAAATTCAGAACTCCTAAATAAACAATAACCAACAAAAGAAATTTCCTATTACAGAACTTCATCAGACTCTTAATGTATCTGTCATTGTGTTGCATTTTTCAAGCCTTGATCAGGATCAAGTATTACTTTTTCTTTATCTCCTTACTCCTACATTTTTTATCTTTAGTTAATAATCAAACAAGGGGACTGAAATTTTCAAAGATCATTAGCCGCATGAAAGCAAGGAGTTTTCCCAACAAAATTTAATGCAATTGATTTGGACAAGATTTTCAGACAATTTAAATGGCTTCTCTTTGCTGTATTTGTATAAGAGAAATTCATTTGGCATATTATGTGTAAGATACAAGGTCATCACCTTCTTTCCTCGAATTACAGCTCCAGGCTCGCCCTGAATCACCATATACTTTGCGGCTCCAAGGTACAAGCCAGTTGGGGCAAGGGATCCAGGCTCATCGAAGTCGTTAATGATGCCTTTAATCTCGTCAGGCTTAAGCTACACACCGATAACAAAAATTAAGTCTTCGAGGAAAAAGCCATCAAGATGGATCATATAATTCGATATACAATCAGAACAATCACATTTTGAAAAGGACTTCACATTCGTATTATGAAAAGAAATCACGATTCAACTTGATCATCAAGATTGTTATTGTCCAGAACAAGATCCATTCTGTTAAATTTTCTTCTTAGAAATAGGCATGAGATTGATTAAAATTAGAGGATGAAGTTTACAAAACACACAAACAAACACAAGCAAAGCTTCATGAGGCTCCAAAAAAGCCAATAAGTCATCACATTATCAGTCAATACCATCTAATAGTCCTAACAACTAAATGATCTACTGATAGAATCAAATTCTAAATGAGCCACCCTGTGTAGCATATGCGGATTGTGGAAAATAAATTAAAAGCCAAAATATAAACAAATAATTGAACCACAATTCAAGGCACCAATCAATATAGAGGCTTAACAATAACATAAATCAATCCAATCCCAATGTGAAGCATTCATAAATAACTTGAAATTTCAACAACATAAAGACCCAAATTGTGGAATTAGAACCTTCAAAGTTCAACATTCAAATACAATGTACCAGACCATCAAATCAATCCAAGACTCGGAAATCAAATGCAAATATCATCTCCATTTTGAAATCAATAACCCAAATCAGATCCAGTCATTGTAATTCAATACCGAATAATTGACATAACGTTCCAAAATCAGATCACATCAACATCAATCGATCAAATGAATGATACAGATTAGACCAGAACTAGCAAAACCCGAAGCAGATCATGACAATGGACAATGTACATTGTACATTGTATAATGTACATTATAGAGATAAATCACAAAAGAATTGGTAAAAATTCAAAGAAATTTATAAGAATTGCATCTATCCAAATTGGAAAAGCTAGATGCCAAGATCCATCCAAAAATTAAGCATGAATCAAAATTCGAACGATTTGAATTTCTTAAAAGATCAATAAAAAACAGAGGAACCCAAATTCAGATTATTGAATTAAATGATATTTAGAGAGAGAGAGAGAGTACCTCAGGGAAAGACTGGCTTTGAGCCCAAACATTGCCATCAAGGCCAAGGATTGCAGCCGCTGTGAGACGATGGCCATCGATGTCGCACATCAGATGGTCATCAACATATGCTTGCCACGACATTTTCTCTCTCTAAGATCTTCTCTCTCTAGAATTCGCTCTCTCTCTCTCTCTAAACGCTTCAAAAAAAATGTAGGCTCTTCTGCAAACTTTTAAAAGGAAGGATGAGATTGAGAGAGAAGAGAATGCGTTGGAAGTTCCCCGCGAAAAAAGACCGTTATAACCCGCGATCATTTTGGGAAATGACCATGGTACCCCTGTTATTTCCTCTAATGCCTGAGTAGACTAAATAAAACCAATTTACTTCCCGAAAATTAGGCCAAAATCTTAGAAAATTCGTTACTAGGTTAGGGAATCTGGACCGTTGGTATGCAGAGCTGAACGTGAATGGACGATCCGGATACGTTGAGTATAGCATCATGGTAACACATCCATATCACAGGGAGAGTTTTGGCTTTACGATACATTAATGGATGGCAAAGATTTGGTGCTGGAATGATCTATGCCTTCTGCTGTGTGACGAGAGAGAGATCATCTTTTGTAGAATGTACATTCCCATGAACCCAAGTGTTAAGATTGAAGTGCAATTTGGTATGAACCTTAAACAACTAAAATAAGGTGCAGTATTAGGATTAGACCGGCCATCATCTGGTGAGAGGTTTGGTCCAGCAAATTGGTCTAATCATGGGATTGAACTAGTTTTCAAACTATTAACAAAAAATAAATAGGTATGGTTTATATAAGGCTGCAATCTCAAACAATCAAATTAAGGTTTTTCGTGTCACATATTCATAGGATGGCTTGAGAATCCATTTTCATCTCTAATTATAAAATCTTAAACTCCAAAAATGGTTCAAATCAAGTAGATCTATAAATACTTGAAAATCTTAAAAATGGACGGTCTAGATAATATGTTGCATGGTACAGTATTTTTAGCACTCAAAGTCATTTTTCCTACTTACCCAAAATTTTTTTTTTTTTCTTTTCATATTCATATATCTCGATGTCGAAATGATCGATTAGAAAGTTTTCCAACATCAAAATAACCTTTTATGATGGATTTTTGAGATGCACCTTAATTCTACATTTTAAGGTTGCAATCTTTTAAAAACGTTTTCCTTTCAAAATATATACTATATTATATATAAAAAGAAAGAGTATACAATGAGACCATTTATCTTTCGTACAAAATGGTCACAATTAATCTTTGACCATTGGATGTAAAGTTGGGTAGCTGCATTTATTCTATTGACCAGACTCTAAGTTCAAAAGAAATTTTTTCAAACTTTGTGATACACCCAAGCTATTAGATTTCACATCAGATGGTTGTAAGTAATTGTGACATCCGTGTACCAAAGATAAATGATCTCATTGTATATCCTAAAAATAAAAAAATTGCCCACTTTGTTTGGCCAGAAAATTATCAAAACCACATGGTCGGATCGGTCAAAACCAGTCAAATATAGTTTTGACCGCTTTATGGCCAACCCTGTTTCTTCTCTAGACCAGTCCATCTAAGGCACCGGTCGGCAGTCCAACCATCCAAACTATTTGGTTTGGCCCTATCTTGATAACTATGATAAAGTACACTTCTAAATCTTGCTAGAAGATGTAGTTTGAGTGTTGAAGACATTTACAATGGTCTAAATGTCTATTTTCACATGTAATTATGAAATTTAAAGCTTCAAAATAGATTTAGAACGAGCTTATCTACAGGAACTCAAAATTTTGAAGATTGACAGTCTATTTAGTGGGTTTTAGTATGCACTATTTTTAAAATTTAAAATCTTTTATATATAGATCCAGATGATCAATTGTAAGATCTTTCAACGTCGGAACAACACCATATGATGGATTTTAAGGTGCACTTATTTCGACTATATAATGTTGACACCTTATATAAGCTTTTTCCTCAAGATGCAGATCATTGGAATAAAGGGTGCAATTTGTATAAATATGGAACTTTTCTTGTAGAGCTAAGGTTATGTTGTACGACAGCTCCAATTTTAGTTTGGTGGTATAGATTACAACTCCAATTTTAGTTAGATGGTATAGATTTAACATGTATTTTAAGGTCATTTCAAAAAAATGGCATGCCTTTTGAAACAGTGTCTAATCTATATTGTTCAAATAAAATAAATGGCACATATTAATTAGGGGTGGCAATAGGTTAGGTCCGGTTGGACATGGACCTAGACCCAAATAGTATTCGGGTCCAAAATTTGGACCTATACCTAGACCTGTCGGGTCCCGGGTCTGGTCAGATCCATTGCAACCTATGACTATGAGCTTCTTTTTGCCAATAATATTGTAAATGATGCCAATATTGTGAAAATATGAACACCTAGCGAGCGCCGCACATGATTGCCATCATATACCATATGACTACGGGTACGGATCGGATCCAGCTAGACCTAGATCCGGGTAGTATTCGGGTCCAAAATATAGACCCATACCCAAACCCAAGTTTAGGTATTCCCGTCGGGTCCCAAATCCATTGCCACCCCTAAGATTAATGCAACCTTACTTTTAAAAATAAGTTAGACAAGTCAAAATTGAAGAGGCATGAGATTAAAGTATTAATTTTTTTACCAAAAGGTTTCATGCTCATGTGGGGGAGAATATTCTCTAATATTAATTTCTTCGGGCAAAACTCAATATGGAGTATGGTTATGACCCCAAATTTGAGATGTAACCTCTTCAACCTGCCCACTAACTTAACAACCCAATATTAAATGGAGACTTCCAATTTTCTAGTGGATGAAATCAGAACTCAAAATATAAATTTTATATTTTAAAGATAATCATGTAGTGATTATCAAGTGGATCCCAAAGTTTAGACGAAAACAAATCTCCCTAGTAGCTCTTTTACCCAGAGACTAAATGTACAGTATATACTCCCACATGACAATATATGCTTTTCGAACAAAACTTCTTAAGGGTAGCCGCTAAGGGTTTGATAGGTCCGGTTCCATGAAGAGGAAGAGAGAGAGAGAGAGAGAGAGAGACTGCTTTTTAGGGAATTGGAAGGTTCAACGAGTATTTTTCCCCATGAGGGTGTCCCATCCGTATTGATAAAGTGTAAAGACAATTTTTTTTTTATTATTATTGATTGTTAAGGGAGGTCACAATTATTTTTAACTATTGGATGTAAAATCTAATGATGAAAGTGTGTCACAACATTCTAGAAATTTTGTTTTGGATTTTTGCCTATACAATGATACATCTTCAACTAACCAATTTTTTATCTATCGATCAACAATGATTGTGACCACATTTATCAAAAAGTAAACGATCTCATTATTTACATTTTCATAACATTTTTGCTTTTATCTTAAGGAATTGTATACTATAAAGACCATCTATGTTTCTTATAATGAAGTCAAAATATTCTTAACCATTAGATATCAAATTGGATGGTTTGGAATTGCGTCATGAAGTTTGAAATTTTTATTTTTGAACTTTGAGTTTAGCCTATAACATGCTCACAAAGGACAATAGTGATTGCCGTCTAAAATATGTGAACACAACAATAAAAAGTTAGCAGCTAAACTGCATAATGTTTAGAAGAGAATAAATGAAGGGTGAATAAATAGGGATTTCTCCATGTTGTGTTTTCCCCATGAAACTCGGCGAGTCCTTTGGGAAATCGCCTTCTTTATTGCGTTCAACGCGATTTGGACGACAAATGAATCGTCATACTCTTTACTATTAAAAGAGGAGAATTGTAATTAAGATTTTTGTGGCTCAGGGACTGGGAAATTTATCCTACTCCCCATGAGAACTATCAAAATGACATTCGCGTACCTTAATTGGGAGACCTAACAGACATTAAAATTAAAATAGAGATTTATGAGACCGAGACAACCGGGGAGCAAAACCATCCCGAAACCGGTTCGATCTTGGCATATTCCCCATCCAGAGATAGGCATTTGCTGGGTTTTAGAACAATGCTTTCTTTAATGATCTGCAGTAGCATCCACTTGAAGGGTCCACCAACTGGACACTTCATATTGAATTTGGGATAGCCACAAATTAATTTTATTTTTAATTTTGAATTTTTTTTAGACGTAACAATGGGGCATCCATGCATCTACCACCGGCGCATCTCATAAAAATAAAAAAAATAACTCTAAATAAGTGATTGATTAAAGGAAAAGTATACAAAGAGACTTACTTTTGATATAAAGAGCTCACAATCACTTTTTCTATTGAATTTCAGATTTCTATTAAAAAGGTCAAAAATTCAAAAAAAAATTCTTGAACTTCATGACAGATCTTCAATATAGAATTGGATCACTAAAGGTACTTGTGACCTCCTTATGAGAACGGTAGACGGTCTCATAGGATACAATTCTTTGAGTAAAATATCTTCATAAATGTTTCAATGGTATTTTGATCAATTTTTATTTTAAATAACTTCTTTATTTTTATTGAGAGTGTCTATAAAGATGCATGGACCACATAATTTTGAAATAAAATAAGAAATAATTTATAGGCTTAAAAAATCTTTCACTCACACAGTTAAACAGCCCACATGGAAAGACTCGGGACTGTTTAATTTTTTTTTGCTAATTTTTTTTCAAAAAAGGAAGTTTAATTTATTAAATCCCTTTTAAAAGATAAACCAACATTACACTTTTATCTTAGGTGTAAGTTGATAAGTTTCAAAATCCATAATGATGCGTCATTTGATGGCATTTAAAATTTGCTCAAGGATTGGGAATTAGATCATATGATACACATGAGATGTTAAATATTCAAGTCTTCTATAAAATTCCCTTTAAAAATGCAAATTGCTTATAATAGGGATCTGAATCAGCAGTAAAGGGTAAAGACCATTCATATACCACATAGAGATTTTTCTTTCTTTTCCATTTGATGGTTAGGAGTAACTTCCATTGCCATATCAAGATTGATGTACACCTTTTCATTTACAGAATTGTGAGCCTATTTACTTGAAGACTGTAAAAACGAAAACTTTGTAACACTGAATGGAAGATTTCATCACGCCCTCTTTGGCCGGCCCATTGCTTTCCCTGCAAGAGTGTATAACCTACGAGCATCATGTTATCAAAATCAAACAACTATCAAATAGGTTCGGGGTTTGGTTCAATTAAAACCAATCTAATTACAAGTTAAATTAAGTCTCTCTCTATAGTTGAAACACAACAATTTTATCTCTCTAACCAAAATCTGTAAATGGGTAGGCTACAAGAGCTTCGCTTCAGCAACAGCTCATTCTGCAAATGCATATGAAAATCTCAGCATTTAAAACAAGATGCAATTCACCGCTCAATTGCTCCCTAATTTTGTGGCCTAAACCAGAAGAGGACACACTACACATTCACTCTTCTAATCTCCCTCATTTAACCATGGAATTATCTTTGTTTCAATCTGCTCTGCACATTATACAATCTCTCTCTCATCCCCTCTCCAGCATTACACGATGTTTCTCTCACACATGCGCACACGCACCCACCATTATATAGTAAAAATCTATTTTTATATGCTTATTGTAGTATTTAGAAAGTGTTTACTGGCTAGCCCGAAAGGGCAGAGAGATATAGCAACAGTGGGCTGAATGAGGAAGGTTACAGGTTAAAAGAGGAGAGAGAAAGGACTTATACGGGTTAACAAAATGATATAAAGTCATTTAAAAGAAAAAATAAATAAAATCAATGGAGGGATGAAGTTAGGGGGCTGGGTGAAACTTTTATAGCTTTTTTTATGCCACTCGATAGAAAACAGGAGGGAAGGGTTATTACAAAAGGAACGAGATTCTAAGGGTTTAGTTACTTGTTGTATAAATATAATAAAGCAGCTAGGCTGACCACTTAATACAGGTCAAATATTGATTTTAATCGATTTTTTTTTATCAAACTCAACATTTTTAGACCAATTGAACCAGTTTGTCTAGTCAAATCTTGATAACTAGCTTCAGTTGCCATTAGCAAAACTCTCTGCCGATGCTCCACTGGATCACAATCAAGAGTCTCCCATGATGATGGCATGAAGTTTGGCAATAGCCTAAGACCTTTCAGCAAAGACCAAGCCTCAATGGTCTTCTGTTGGGGTACCTTGAGCCTGCTGTGAACACCACTCCAGCAGCTCCTTCCGTTGTTTGATTGACTCAACCCCCTCAGTAGCGCTGCAACAGAGTTGGGCTTGGGATGAGTCATACCTAGCCTGAGGCCAAGGGCCCAAATTTATGTCTTTGGGCCATGTGGATTCAGGGCGGGCCCCAGCCTTAGCCAACCCAAATCAATAGGAATTGAGACCCGAGCTGGGCCTGAACCTAGAAGTTACTGGCCGGGCTCGAGCCATAATGTAAGAGAAAAGAAAAAAAACTATACACATATATATTGTATATAGGCAATAATCCTAGGTATTTTAAAATTTAAATACACCGTGTTAGAATGCATCTCAATTCTAGAAAACTAAAAATCTAAGCCCTGGTGACTTGCAGAGCCTTAGTTACGAGTTTTATGTTTAATTACCATTGACTTTTTTACCCTTTCTTTCTCTGCCACCTTGAAAAGATCACATTTCTTTTTCTTTTTTTTCCTGCCCTTCATTTAAAAGAAAGGGCAGAAAAATCTTACATATAACTTGCTCTTCAAAATAAAAAATCTTATATATAACACACTGTAATTTTAGTATACAGAATCAAATCTTATATGCTATAACACTGTAATTTTAATACACAGAATCGTTCCTCATATTATATATATATATATATATATATCCGGACCGTGGAACTATTGACCCAACCAGACCTGGCCCACATGCCTTATTATGTGACCTAGAACAGGCCCAAAAGCCAACCCAGCCAGAAAGCTCACAGGCTGGCCATGCCTGGTTGCTACCCTTCAGTAGGTGGTGCCTTGTGCAAACCTAGGTAAGGCCACGATCTCCTCCCAGAAAGCAGGTTTGTGGGGAATGACGACCTCCTCCCTTTGGAGTTCTCCTATGTGCAGGACCAGTACTAAATATCTCTGATTGATGACGTCTTCCTCTTACATCATCTTTTTCATCATCATAGTCTTTTTTCAACTATTTGAAAGCGGCAAAAAAATAAAATAAAATAAAATAAAACTCGCAAGTTTATCATCTATAAAAGTCACAATGAGTCCAATTCAAGTAGTTTTTCTGACTTAGGATGAGTTTTATTCAGTGTGTTAGTTTGGTGCAATATACAAGCAATATTTAACACATTAACCTGTGCTTGCTACCATTTATCAGCCAACTGTAAACAACCAATAGATATAAACGTCTCAATTTCAGAGAAATAGTTGCTGCCTGTCAACATAAAGATTTGAATTAGAGCTCAAATCAAAGAAACTAGTTGCAGCCTTTTTCCCTTTCTTCTCAATCATTCTTTACGATGGGGAATATAGCTGTCTATCAACATTAAGATTTGGTTTTGATTTATTTCAATGGACAATCCCCAGTCTAAGCAATGCCTGCCCCTGAAAAGTCCAAAACTATACATTGAAATGCAAATATTCCTCATAAGAGTCAAATGCGGGGGAAAAAAAGATTTGAAACCATCACTGCATCTAAGCATGAACAACTTTCCAATTAAAAGGCAATTGCCAAAAATGCTCCAACCAGTTTCGTGTCAGGTACGCAGGTAAGTTACATGAGAAAAGAAAAGAAAAGAAAATAGAGAAAACTGACCCAAAAGATACAAAGAACCGTTGCTTAATCTCTAACTCTTTTCCCAATTTGGGAATCAACTGTGTATTAAGAGTATTTCTTCATGCAAGACACATGAGCACATTTCCTCCATAGTGTCATGCCAGATCTGGCAAAAAACGTTTTGTTGGGTAGTAGGAAACTTACGCATGAAAGGGATTTCAGCATTATCAATCATCTATTAAGCCTGTAACTTCTCCCTCTAAATGCTCCAGTTGTAGGGCTTTGCTCTGCAGGTGCATTAACCTGAGGTCCAAGCACCCATAAAGAGCGTGCCAACTTATGCCTGAACAACAGTCAAGGCCTTGACAAAGCTCAGCAAAGAACCAAATTCGAGAATGATCACCAAGGAAACACAAATCTCTCTCTCTCTCCACACACACACAAAAAAAAAGAAAGCCCCACAATGCATAAAATATAACCTTTCAGATAACACACAATGATCAAAAGTTGGAAGGCAAAGACTGTAAGAAGATAATCACATACAATGTAGATAACTCCAAAGAAACCAAAGTTTCTAATCTAATGATATAAGACTAATGAAAAATTCAGTAAGAGAGAACAAAAGGCAAGTCAAATGGGAAGAGAAACCCATAAAGGATTCTATGATCCAATTTGCATGACACAAATTGCTCAATTGCTGCAAGAAATCTAAATTGTAATGGAACATTCCAAACTACTTAACTGTTAATATGCAAGTAGGAAAAATGGAGAGACAGAGAAGTCGAAAGGATACACCCAAACTGGAGTCTTCAGTATGTTCCTTCCACCCGCAAGAGGATGCAACACCGCCAAAAAGTAATAAAGATGCCCAGCTACAATCCCCATGAGGTCCGGAAGCAATGGTGAGCCAAATATTACATCCAATACAAGTATTGCCCAAGGAAGATAGAAAGCCTAGTAATGCGAGCACAAAGATCTTGAGAATCATCAATGCGATCAAATAAAAGCAAATCCACAAAACCAGAAGAAAAGAATAAATCCAGTAAGGTTTCATAAAAATAATAGGCAAAAGTTTACCCTCAATTGCACGAGGCCATAAATGTTGATTTGAGCATTGGGAAACTCTCTACTCCAAACATAGACAAGCATGAAGACCGAGGAGATTCCAAGGCAAAGCGAGTTTAATGGAGGAATGAGAGATAAAATCTACAAAGAAAGAAGCAAAGAATTTCTAATATTACTAAATGCAGTAATGCAACAGATATGCAAGGCTACAATCAACAGCGTAAAAGCTCATGGACCAGAATGTTACATGTTTTATATATGAGCAATGATCCAATGCAATGGTTGTATTATAGTATAATGCAATTGGTTGTATTATAGTATAATGCAACAATACTTCTAGAAAACCATGTTTGTGATACTTGTATGACTCCAAATTTTGCACACACACTCTCTTCATCTCAATAATCAATAACCAAAAAAAAAAAAAAAGTTCAATTTAAACCCTAAATATGGTCAAAATGAGTCCCCTCAAAAAACGAATATAGACCATTCATTTTGTGAATTTCAAGATCTTAGCCTTTATAAACTCAAAATCATTTTTTTCTTTTTTAACATTATTCATCTAATGATAATAAAGCCATCGAAAAAAATTGAAAACGAAAAAATCCAT